CATTGATTCCCAGGACCCACATGGGGGACAGACTGTCTCTTGTCCTGTGACCTCCACACATGCACACTGTGGCACTTACACACACACACACACACACACACTATAAATGTAAATAACAAAAAATTTCCTTATCATTTATTATCAGCAAATGTGTATCTATTTCCTATATTTATATACTTAGAGTCATATAAAAATTTCTCAAGCCAAAGAGGAGAACGGCAAATCCCAGAGAACGTCAGGGGCTCAGACAAGCATCCCCGAGGACAACTCAGAAGGTGCAATGTAAGTTGGTTTTAAATCTGGGTTGACTTGATTTTCATGTTATTAAGTAGACTTTGGGACTTGATTTTCATGTTATTAAGTAGACTTTGGGATAAAAACACTTCCGAGACGACTAACTGGATCTGATAAGTCAGGGCTGCTAGGTTTTAAACAGTCCCGATGGCTGTTCCAAAGCTAAAGTTAGTTCCATAACCGTTGCTTCATTTGCTGACTATTCATTTTAGAAATAAAGCAAAAAGAAAGTCGTGCATTAAAAATCAAGTGAGGCCGGGCAGTGGTGGCGCACGCCTTTAAGCCCAGAACTTAGGAGGCAGAGGCAGGCGGATCTCTGTGAGTTCAAGGCCAGTCTGGTTTACAGAGCGAGTTCCAGGACAGGCACCAAAAAACTACACAGAGAAACCCTGTCTTGAAACCAACCCCCCCCCCCAAAAAAAATCAAAATCAAGTGAGTAAGATACTTTCATGGAGGCCACTAAAGGTGTGTTTGTAATAATATTACGTAGCCAAGTATTATGTGGCCAAGTAGCCTTTATCTAAAATGCTTGGGACCAGAAGGGTTTTAGTGCTAGGAGTGGTTTTTTGTTGTTTGTTTTTTGAGACAGAGTCTTACCATAAAGTTTTGGCCTGGAACTTGCTATGGAGACCAGGTTGGCCTTGAACTCAAAATGCCACCCGCCTCTGCCTCCTGAGTGCTGGGATTAAAGGTGTGCACCACCACACCACTGTGTCTGTTTTGTTTCAGGCCTGGCATGGTTGCACACACCTTTAATCTTATCACTCAGGAAGCAGAGGTAGGTGGATCTTTAGTTTGAGGCTTAGCCTTGTCTAGATAGTAAGTTCTAGGCCAGCTAGGACTACACAGTGAAACTCTCCCTGTCTCAAAAAGAAAAAAAAAAAAAAATCCACATATTTACATATAAGTGTGATGAACTATTTGGGGGATGAAACTCAAGTCTAAACATGAAATTCATGTTTCACATATACCTAATATACATAGCCTGAAGATAATTTAACACATTTTAAGTAATTCTGTACATAAAACAAAGTGTCATATGAGGACATAGATATACCTAATTTTACATTCGTAGTGTCATGTTGGCGCTCAGAAACTTTTGGATTTTGGAGCATTTTAGACTTTGGATTTTCAGATGAGAGATGTTTAACTGGAAGCATAATTTTTGGTGACCTTAAACAAGTCCTGAGTAGAACTCTGAGGGGGTGGAATGCAGGTGAGTTGCTAAGGCCGTAACCACCTTGCCTGTACCATCCTTCCTGGCCAAGCAATGAGCTCATCTAGCCTTCGGTGAATTAGTACAGACAGTCTGCAGACCCCTCAGTGTCTCTGAACCACACAGACACTTCAGGTTTCCCCTCGTGCACGGCTATTTTTTGTGTCTCTGTCAGCTAAGGGAGGGAGGATTTACTCTGGCTCACCATTTGAAGGAACCGTCTGGTCCATTGTGGTGAGGAAAAAACTACGGCAGGAGATTGCCTGTTCACTTCATAACACACCAGGAGGCAGGGCCGGCATGTAAACTCAAGGCCTACTTCCTAGTGATCCGCTTCATCTAGCTAAGACCCATCTCCCCAAAGCTCTACAACACTCAAAATAGTGTCAGCAGCAGCAGGGACTTCGGTGTTCAAACACAGGAGCCTTTGGGGTACATTTCTAGCCAAACCCGAAGAGGGCAACTCTGTAGCAGTCTACTCAATTAGTCACGCACTCCCCCAAAACTCTCTAATTCCTGTGCTTCAAAACACAATTTAAATCCTTGAGGTCAGGGCACACATCCTCTCCTGCACACCCGCCCACTCAGCAGCCGCCATCACTGAATTATACTTACTGCCAGCATTTCCTTGTGAACCCTGCGACGATTTCCCACCTGCTCCTCACGTGACATAGAACAGAACAAAACCCCTAAACTAAACGGAAAAGCCCTACCATGAATGAAAATGTCTAAAAACAGAAAGTTTAGAGTGAACTGAAGATAAGACACTGGAGAGAAATTCTGTATGTGTCGCATCTAAAACTTTCACTGATAAACTCTTAGGTAATTGATCAGATTATAAGATGAGTCACCTCAAGGTTTCTCAAAACAGAGAGCCCGAGAAAGGGTTGTTTGTTGTCTAGGACGAGAGTGGACAGAAGCGTTTGTACGAATTCAAATCCATTAGCTTACAAACACGGCGCAGTCTAGTCCCACATCCTCTCTTTAACAAAAAGCATGTTTTCCTTTCAGCAGGGCACAGAGAGGCGAAGGTGCAAGCACACAGCAACTCAGCGGAGCAGCACACTTCCACACCAAGCGTGGTGCCTGCCGGTCTTGAGAGCAGCGACAAGCTTTCCCCTTCAGTCCCACAGTCCGCATATGGGGAGTGCCCTTCAAGAGTGGTGCTCAGCCCTCCCCATACATATACATTCATACATACATACCCACACCCATACACTCACATAGACCCATATACATATACACATACACACATACCTGCATACATACACACACAAACACATACATACACACTCACACCCATGCATGCATGTATATACAAACTAGTATACACATACACTCTCATACACACACCTGTACACACACACACACCCATACACATACACACACACTCACACATACACATTCTCACATAGACTTCCCCCACACACACATACACGCACATTGACACCTGTATACACATGCACTCACACAGCCACACCTATACACATACTCTCTCTCTCTCTCTCTCTCTCACACACACACACACACACACACACACACACACACACACACACACACACACACAGAAACAAGTATCACCCCCCCTCAACACACAGATTTGAAGAACTGAACTCAAACATCACACCTGCTCTTCCTGCTTCTCGATTTCTCTGGTGGCTCAAGTCACCACTACCCTTTACATGCTCCACCTCCACACGCCACACGCCAGGTCACCCAAGAACAGTCTGCAGAGGCCCGCCACTACTGGACCCGCCACCTCCGTCAGGCCACACCTATCACCAGCAGCACATCCAAGGCCGTCCGTCAGCACCGAGGAGCAGGTGCAGCAGAGCAGAATGGGAAATGTCACACAAAAGCAGATGATGGAGAAGCAGGAGGAATCCCTAACTGCTTTTTAAACTTTGATTAATGTGGGCTTCCGGAAACGGAATAAAGTCATTCTTCCCACATAAGGGAGATGAGCCGATAACAGTGAATAGTGGAAAGTGCAAACGTGCATGTGTCTGTAATTCTGGGACCAGCCACTAAAAAGTCAAGACGCCAAATAAAACTTTGGCTGAAACAAAAGCTCATCTATGGCTTTAACTGCTCAAATCAGTAGTGAAACTGCCTCCGGGGAAGGAGATGTGGTGTCTGTTTTAGAGTTACTACAGATCAACCACAAGGTCAGCCCAAACAGAGCGAGTGCTGTTCCACTCCACACAAGTACCGCACACTAACCAATCACACTTCTGGAATTCCTCCCCTACTACAATGAAGGAAAGCTCCCAGGGTGGCCGGGCACAGGGGTGCCGCAGAGACCGGAAGATTGTAGGTTTGAGGACAGCCCAGTCTACACAGCAAGTTGCAGGCCAGACAGAATTATGTAGCGAGACCTGTCCCAGACAAAAACGAAGAGGAAGAAGAGGAGAAACAGAAAGACAGAGCCAGCTAGCTATGGGGGAGGGTAGGATCTACGAAACAAACAAACAAAAAAGAGCAGACGTCATCCGCATCATCGTTTTCGTCTAAACATAACACCAAGCAAATGAAAAACCTGTGAGGCCTAGTGAATGAGGAGAAAGAAATGTGTTAAAGGGAACTTGGGGATGGAGTGACTAATGCCAGAACGGAGTAAGAACTCCCTTCCTCCCTTCCCGTGACCCCCACTTCTCCATCCCCCACAAACCGAAACAGTACACTAAGAGGAAGTGGGAACCAAGCAAGCCGGACCTAGCGGCAGAATTTCACAAACCCAAGAAGCAGATCCCCAGAGTTCCAGAGGCTCGGACTCCACACCCTCTCCGCTAAGAGACGCTTGTGTTTACCACCTGGAATCTGATACAATAGCCTGACCTAAGTAAGGTCGACTAGAAAACACACGTGGACTGTGTCCTGAATCTATGTATGTTCAGGAAAAGGCCGGTTGGGGCTGAAGGGTAAGAAATATACACAATCCTGAACACATTGATGCCTGGATTTGCTATTAATGAATCAGAGTTTCACATGATCAAACATTATAAATGTCTGAAGTATATATAACCCTTTTATGAATGAAAACATTTATAAATATGCCCATTGGAGTTCTCACTGCTTTTATTACTTTTTCCAACACACACACACACACACACACACACACACACACACACACACACACACACACACACCACTCAATGTAAAAAAAAATAACGATAAATTATAAAAGTAGTAATTTCAGAGCTGAGTTTGGAGGCACAAATCTGTAGTACCAGCACTTGAGTGGCTGAGGCAGGGGGATTGCTACAATTTCAAAACCAATCTGGCTGTAGAGTAAGGCCTACCTAGTCTCAAAAGAGAGCAAGGAATGGGGACCTGCTGTGCAGATTTACTTTTCTGACAGCGGGCTGTGACAGGTCAGAGTTCATCTTTGATTGGGCTATCCTTGGAACAAAATGCAACATGGGTCAAGAGAGAAGGGTCACACGTGGGATGAGACGAGCCGCGCTGGTGGGTCTTTCCTGCTCTTACCAGTTTGATTTTAGAAGAAAGGTTTTCTGGCAGTTTTGTCTTCAGCTGACTTGTCTCCTTGAACGTGGGCGGGAATCCACTCAGGAAGGCCAAGTCTTGCATCAGCACTAAGCCCGGGACTTCTTTGTCTGTCGTCTGAAATCAGAGGAGAAGACTAAACTCGCCTCCCGTCTCGAAGCTGGTGCGCCTCCACGCCTCCACTGTGTCCTGAGCTTCAGATTACATGCCACCGTAGTGGGCACTCACTGGCACCAGGAGGCTAGCCTCAGAGGAAAAGCTCTTAAGGAGCATAGCACGGTGGCTCAGGACTGCAATCCCAGAATTCCCAAGGGGAGGCAGGAAGATTGCAAGTTGAAGGCCAGATGGGACGACATAGCAAGACCTAAGGAAAACAGCTTTAGTACTCATGCTTTCATTCCAGTCTAATGCAAAAGTACAGCCAGATTTAAAATGACATACCAAGTAGGCTCTCCAGACTGTCTGCTTGCTGCTTCTCTTCAACAGTCCAGCATGGGCATCCTCCACTACAACAGACAATGCAAGAAACAAGCACACGTTTAACAAATACTTACCTGACTCTCGGGGAGAACACCATACAGAGCATTTTGGGGAGCTACTAAAATAGCATAATACATTGTTTCAAAAAAAGTCGTTACAGACGATAAAATTAGCACATTCAAGAAAGGAGGCACACTGTAAAGCAGTGTATAACCGAACACTAAATTCTGCACTGCCAAGAGATTTGTGCAGGCAGCAGCAACATGGAGGGCTCTGTGGAAACAAACTTAAGCTGGACTGAAAGGAATAGAGGGTGGGATGACAGAAAAATCACAGCTGTAACAGCAAACCTGGACGAGAAAACAAAACACTGTCTGACTACATGAAACACCTCTGAGAATGTCATTAATGTCAAATAAGAGTAGCCAGACAAGGAAAGGGGGCGTGAACAACAGTAGAGGTGTTTATATGAAAGCAAGCAGCTGCCTGATAGCCACTATTCCCTGAAGAAGCAACCTTCTCAGAGCTGGGGGTGGGGGGCACACAGCCACAAGAGAAGCATGAAGAAAAGGGTAGAAGTGGTCACCGAAGGTGCTGCCGACATCCAGGACGGAGGGAACCAGGAGACACTCAGCGTGCCGGCTCCGATCGGGATCTTCCAGAGGGACAAAGGAGGCAGGTTCTACAATTTACAGTCTGGGGAGATGGACAGCAACCCTGGGCAAGAGGCTCAAGCCCGTAACAACAGCGCTGGGGCTCGGGCTGCAGCTGAGTGGGCCAGCACCTGCTTAGGGTGCTCAAGGCCCGGGGAACGCTGCAGGAAAGGAAGTTCTGGAACAGTCTAACAGAAGGCCCTATAATCTCAACTCTCACGAAGTTGATGCAAGACGACTGTCATGAGTTCAAAGCTAGCCTGTGCACAGTGAATGCTGGACCAGCCAGGGCCATACACAGTATCTCAAAAGACCACCACCAGCAGCAACAACAACAACCCCACCCCTAAAAGCAGCAGCATGGACGTTAGGCGTGACCGTGACTTCAAAACACATTTATCAGGTAACTGTCTCCACAGGTAGAAAGGGACAATATGCTGGTAAACTGGAGAATTCTAACAGGACTGGTATGTGTGATATAACATGCATGTAATCTCATCAAAGACTTCACAACACTCTCAACGCTACCTTCATGTTTAAGTAGACTGACTACTTAACAGGGGAGATTATGACCTAACCCATTCCGACCGAAGGGTGTGAATTACACAGCAGTAGCCAACCTGGAAGATTGCTTGAGAGGTATGCCACGGCCCTTGTCTCCACCATGAACCCTACACCAAAGTTTTGAAAGAAACAGGAAGCATGTGTGTGAAATGTGTCGACAAAGCTGACAGCGATGTCGTATCCGAGCTAACAGACTAAGGACTCCCCACGCTTTGGGCCACTTAGAACAGAGCATCCAATGCAGCAAAATATCGTCTCTTACAACCAAAGGTAGAATCCGTAACCGGGGACCACAAGCCAATTCTACAAACAACCATCACAAGAGGTGTTCACCAAGAAACCGCACTGGGCTGACCTTCAAAAGGGGCAGAAGCCAACCACGCCTCACTTTCCGCGTTAGCTCCGGGCCACACTCACTGTGGCCTGGATTACCACACTTTGTGTCCCTCCTCAGTCTGCTCTCCATACACACAGAAAATGGATCTGTACGGAACACAAGGCAGACTGTCGCTCCGATGACTCCCCCGGTGCACTATGGGTTAAAGACTCTGGGTTCAATGTGGCTGCCATGACCTGCTCCCTCCCAGTTCCCTAGTCTCGTCTTGGCCTCCTTTCTCTTGCTCACTCTCTTTCACTCACTCTGGCCTCCTGCTCCTCAATCACAGCAGCTACATTCCTGATGCAGGGCCTTTGCACTGGCCACTCCCCGACAATTTTTTCTTCGGCCATTCACGTTGCTCATTACCCCCTTCACGAAGCCTGTCCCTACCACTCAATTTAGAATGTTCACACCCTTTCCCGACTCCTTTTCCAGGCCCCTATTCGGTTATTCTCCATAGCATTCTTTTCTACAAAGTATATAATTTACTTACTTGTTGTCACCAAGGACAGGACCTGCACACTGTTAAGTGGATAGGCCTGCTTCCCCTGCAGAGCAAGCCACAGGGAGCACAAAGGTCACGACCACCTCACGCATTTAAATTTTTTTTTAAATGCTGAGGATCATACACAGGGTGCATGCTAGACAAGGACTTTACCCAAGCTAGACCCACAGCCCAGTGAACATACTGTGAAAGCACCCTGGCAACAACCACCTAAAACCCAGAAGAGATCAAGAATGAAAGGAACACCCCACGGGGAAGGGGTTACATCCCCTCTCTATGTCCACTGGAAACACATTCCATCTGGGTATACAAATATGAGAAAGCTATTTGCAGTTTTTTCTGAAGGCCACTTTAGTTCGGGGGTAACGTGAACCGCCCTACCAAGGTATCATTTCTTATAAATCAAACGGTGTTAAGTGTGACTGGAAAAGCCACTTTGCTTTGGAGTCCTGGGACCAGGCTGCAGGGCTAGGCTAGGTGACGGCTAACCACGCTTCTCATCTGAAGGGAAGAGGCTTGTATTCAGAAAGCTCACACTTTCCTTCCACCTAAAAATAACGTCAGGACTAGGAGCAGCATTATGGCAGTCTTCATGATATAAACCGGTGGACGGCCAAGTTTTCTCTCAATAATCAGTAAGTTACACAAGACACCATAAATTCCTGGGCAACTGAAGATAAATTCTGAGTTCTATTACACATACAATGGAGCTGGACGATGGAGCTGGGAAAGCCAAGATAAAAGCATTATGAACGGCCCAGTCCTCCTACGGAAGAGATGGATGGGGAAGACCAGGAGATGGCTAAGAAGAGGCTGTGGCAGGAGCCAGGGCCCACCACCTGCACAGTGACCAATGGCAGCAAAGTATAATAAAAGACAAACAGGGAAGAGAATTAAGGGGACAGCCGAGCAGAACCTGCAACACCAGGAACAGGAAGGAGCTTACATCCACATGAAAAGCAAATACATACTACTGAAGTACAGTCTTCTAAGAGACAGTGAACCAATGAGATGAGGATTTTCGGGTTTATTTGCTAGTTCACACTAGGTAGAGAACTTTACAGACAGACAGAGAACCTCGGTGTCTGTTACAGGAGTCTGTGAAGGAAATGAAGTGAACAGGGGAGGAACCAAAGAACTGTAGGCAAAATAAAAGCAAGAGATAGGATGAGGTTGGTTATTAGTTCACCAGGTAAGAAGTACGGAAGAGGCAAAGACGCTCCCAAAGAGCGGGGCTGGAAGGTATGATGTGGACAAAACGGTACCCCGTATTGTGGAATGAGCTCGACAGCTCTTATGGCACCCAAGTCAAATTCACAGCGTCTCCAGGAAGAGGTGCCCAACGCACAGGATGACTGAGAAGAGAGACCAGAGCTAGGACACACGCGTGGCCTTGGCAGTCAGCTCTCAGCCCAGGGACTAATTACACAAGCTGCTGAGCCCTCCATTGTCTTACAGACAGCAGATGGCGGGGCCGGGAAGGGCAGGTCCAACACAGCTGGTTCTAGGAGGAAGTCAGGGTCGTCTTGTCAACTTCCCAGGGGAGGGCTAGAGACTGCAGTATTAAAAAGGGTGCTAACTCTACTCATGAAGGCTGGCTTAGCCTTCACACCCTGACCATCTACCACAGGTGCCATCCCATTGGGAGTTCAGATTTCACTGTGTGAAGCAGAAGGAATACAAGCCATTTCTGAATAGGGAGCAGGAATGCTCTGGTATGTTCTGTCCAAACTGCAGAACACAATCTCATTGAATTATATGGTAAAATAGTAAAAAAAAAAAAAACCAAAACCCAGCCTCCAGATGACTGACTGTGAGACAGGAAGTACTTTTTGTGTACCAGACTGAAGGTCTTCATAGGGTATTCAGAACATGGGCTATGATGTGTCTCATGGAGGAAATGCTTTGCAGTCCTTTCCTGAGATGACAGATGACTTACAATGCAATACAATAATGGCTCTTTGGCGTTTCTCTGGACATTTTTAGTTTATAGAATCACTTGTTTCATTCAGAATTCTGATATTCTGAGTATCAATGACAACATGGCATAGATACATACTCAGGGAGCTGGGCATGGCGGCACACACCTTTGATCTCAGCACTCAGGAGGCAGAGGCAGGTGGATCTCAGAGTCTGAGGTCAATCTGATCTACACAGTGCATTCTAGGATAGCCAGGGCTGCATAATAGAGACCCTGCCCACAACAATAAAACCTCCAATAATAATAATAATAATAATAATAATTACACACAGGGGATGGAGAGATGACTTAGCAGTCAAGAGCACTTGTTGCTCCAGCAGAGGACCTGGGTTCAATTGCCAGGACACACGTGACAGCTCACAACTTTCTATAACTCCAGTTCCAGGGGATCTGGCACCCTCTTCTGGCCTCTAGGCATGAGGGACACAGACAGACATGCAGACAAAAAACACTCAACACACAAAATAATGAATAAATCTCTCAAGAAACAGGGAAAAAAAAACTTACCATCCTTAGTACTGTCAAAAACAACAACTGACACATTAGTGGAAGGGTTTTTTGGTTTTGCGACATTGAACATGTCACTGGCAGCATGAAAAGACGGATACAGAGCTGGCAGGTCTTTCAGGGTGCTGTTGGCTGGCAAGGGCGGGTCCAGAACAAGCATGGGCACCTTGATGCAGTGCGTCAGCAGACACTCCAACTGCTTCTCACTGCGGAGACAAATAACACTTCAGCAGCGTCGCCAAGGCAAAGTTGTGGCCACCACTAAACGAGAAGCAGCGGTTAAAATCCTGAAACCTCTACAAAACTGTCAAACCTTCATACATCCATCAGTTCATCTCAAGAACGTTACATTTTTTGGTTAGGAAGTGTGGAGTAAAAATAACAAGACACACGGTACAGACACAGAGTCAAGGGTGATGTCTCATACTTGAAGGATGAGCAAAGGGGGTCAACCATGAATTCTAGGCCAGTGAAATCATGTCTGGGGGGGAGGGGGAACAAAAAATTAAGCTTGTCACCAAAATTTGCTAACTTAAAAATTCATAAGAAATTAAGCACTTCAGTACTACCATTAATATATATATATACATATATATGTGCGTGTGTGTATGTATGTGTGTGTGTGTGTGTATATATATATATACATATATATATACATATATATATATACACACACACACACATATATATATATTTGTAATTCCACTGAAGCCCCTTGTTAGCTAGTGTATTTGGATAGAGATTTTGGCTAACAGTATCATGTTGCTGGATACAATTTACCCGCCCTGGTTAGAACAATATGAGCTACACTGGACATCACACTGATAGAAACAACATCAAGTGTAGCCTGGTTTTAATGTGAGCATGTAGGAGACTTTCTACCTGAATCAAAGAAACGTCTTTAAAAATTACGTGAATAGAAGCAACAGGCACGTAACAGGGCTAGAAAGGTCACCAAGTGGGAACCCTAACCAGTACAGTGATGTTCAATTGTCTTAGCTAATAATCAAAGAAATGCACAAGAAAGCAGCCTTCACCCCATGTGCTCAGTTAACTTAGCAACCCTCAAAAACGGTGAGTCCGTGTTAACTCAAGCACTGTAAATCTGTCCCTCTCAAACACATCTGGCCTCACAGCTCTTTAGGGAACCAATGTGGTACTATATACACACTATATACTTATAACACATATACACGCACTTATAACATGCCTGCCCAATATGCTGAGAGGTATGAAGCATGAAAATAATGCATCGACATAGGAATGAAAAAGCAGGACACCTTAGGCCATAAACTATGACTGACAGTTGTGAGCTGAGTGTAGCTGGACATTCCTACAATCCCAGGAGGAGCAGAGGTTCAAGGCTATTCTCAGCTACGCAGTGAGTGTGAAGGCTAGCCTGGGCTATATGAGAGCTTCTTTCAAAAAATTAAAACAAAGGAGCGAAAAGACTGTTGAGGAACAAGGGTCAGGATCATCTCCACAAACAACCTCTTGAAAGTCTCAGTGGAAAGAAGCAGTTAAACGTTTCCATTTGTCAGCGGGAGCTGTTTTAAGGACTCAGCTGAGCCAAGCATGGTTGAAACCAATATACCTACCTAGCAAGACATATATATCTGGTTCTTGTCATTGGGCTAAATCCCCTTCCCAGTCCTTAAGTATATACAACCTGACAGCTTCCAAAGATAAGGAGAGATTAGAAATGGACACATAAATGATGGGCATAAATTTTACAGTCAAAACACAGGGTATAATTAGTTTGAAGAGGCCAAGAGAACAATGTACCAAGACGGATAAATGAGTACTCTAACCCTGCCAAAAACAAGCAGGATTTGGTTGGCCAGAGCACAAACATCTGAGTGTTCAGTCAGTCATGCTATTCAGCACTGTAAATTCTCTAATGGATGCACTTAACTGGGGTGTCAAAAACAGCAGGCAAGGGGCTGAATATGAGCAGCAGCTTAAATACAAAACACAACAGTTAAGTGCCCACAACGGATGATCCTGACACTTCATTTCAGCCCTTCAAGCTTTACTCTGAGAAGAAACCAAAATGCTTACCTCTTCTTTGTTGGTTCTGTTGTGTTCTTCCCAAGGATTTCCCTAATGAAAAGCAAACACAGCTTGTCACATATGCATGCATCAAGCTAGCGCTGGCCACAAATGTGAACAGGGAGAGTTTATGATGTTGCCTTTCTTGGTGACTTCACTGGAACCAATTTGCTAATAGGGAGTGTTACAATGCTTATGGCATTGAAAATGTAAACAAACCATATGTTCCAATGAAATGCTATCAGTAACCCTGAACTGCCAAATGTAACCAATAAAATTCACTTAAAATACCATCTTATTTTCCTTATAAAACATGGAACATGGCTGCCAGTCATTTTAGGCAGTCTTATACGCCATGACGGAGAGAAGTCATTGCAGTATGTGGTGGAAATGACCTGCAACTGTGTACTGGTGACATTTAAAAGAAATAAGTGGGGAAGCTCTTAGCAAATCTTCCAGATGAGAGGGAGGGAACAGTGAGCAGCCAGCTCTGAGGGATCACTCTGCCCATTTCTGACATACATCTCCGAGAGCTCACAGCCACCCGCGGACTTCGTTTTCAGTTGATTTACCTCATAGCTTTCTGCTCTTCCTCCATCTGCTCCCGGACCTGCTTCAGTTCCTTGAGCAGTTCAAGGTCTGTGCCATTCACCCAGGTGTAGACCACGTCGATCGGCATGGGCAGACAGAGCCTAGGGCAAATCCACAAGTCCTCCAGCTTAATTGTAGGTTTCCACAACGTTTGGGGAAAGACTAGAACAGAACTTAGATTTAAGAATTTAGACTTAAGCCAAGTGGCGGTGGTGGCGGCGCACGCCTTTAATCCCAGCACTCGGGAGGCAGAGTCAGGCGGATCTCTGTGAGTTCGAGGCCAGCCTGGGCTACCAAGTGAGTTCCAGGAAAGGCGCAAAGCTACACAGAGAAACCCTGTCTCGAAAAACCAAAAAAAAAAAAAAGAATTTAGATTTAAGCCAAGTGGCGGTGGTGGCCGCACACGCCTTTGATCCCAGCACTGGGGAGGCAGAGGCAGGTGGGTCTCTGAGTTTGAGGCCAGCCTGGTCTACAGAGCAACTTCCAGACCAGCCAGGATTACACAGAGAAACACTGTCTTAAAAAACAAAACACAGGGTTGGGGATTTAGCTCAGTGGTAGAGCTCTTGCCTAGCAAGCGCAAGGCCCTGGGTTAGGTCCTCAGCTCTGGGGGAAAAAAAAAACCCACAAAGAAAAAACAAAAAACATCAAAACAAACAAACAAACAAAAACAAAAAGAGTTTAAATTTAGACATTATCAAGGAAACTCAACGAAAAGGTCACAGAACCATGGCATCCACGTTCAACAGAACCACGTGCTTTCCTGGGGCCACCGTCGACAGGAGTGGTATCTAACAAATGCCATCCTTGTGAACTGCATTGTGTTAGAAACGTCATGAAATTTCCATCATTTGATCCTCACAACCACCCTATAAAAAAGTTGATTTATCTTTCCTTTTTAGAGGTTACCTGAGGGGCTATCAAGATGGCTCAGTGAATTCAAAGTGCTTGCCGCACAAACCTAAAACCCTGAGTTTGATCCCTGAGAAGATAAAGAGAACTGACTCCTGAAGTTATCTTCTGACCTCCACACATGCACCATGGCAGGCCACCGCCACCATCATACACACAACAACAACCACCACTACCATAGAGGAGAACCTGAGAGACAAAAGTAGCTCCTTAGAGTTCTAGTGGACCAGGGTGTGCCTGATCATCAGACGTGGGTTTCTGTTTGGGTAATGAAAGTTCTGGAACTAAATGGTGATGACAGTTACTCAACACTGTGAATGTATTCGGCGCTACTTTCAACCACACACTCTAAAAACGGCTAAAATGCTAACTTCCGTACGTTTTGCTACAAGAAGAGGTCAAATAGAGTGAGAATAAAGATTATCCGGGAGTAGAGGGTGTGGTCTTAGAACTCAGCTAAGGTTAGATAATCTCACATATCCCATATATGCAGGATCAGCGGAACCAAATGTGGCCAAATACAGAGCGGCAATCAGAAGCTTAGAGAGCAAAACACAGGGAAGACTTGTCCCCAGCAAGGCCTCCGCCTTCTGTGCTCAGACGGCCGCTGGAAGTCCCGCCCTCCTCTTCTTTTCCTTTGTTCCAGCCCTGGACATCTTTCTGATACATTAAATGACTAGCCGGTGGCCTCTCCTATCCGCTACACAGGTCCTTCCTGTGTACAGTCACCACTGTTCCTGGTACAGTCTAGGCTTAGACATCCAACATGCTCAACTGAGCTTGAATGGCTGTGGACTAGCTGGGCCTACTGGCCTTCTTCCTCTTACATATCCATCCTTTTTTATTTATCTGCAGCTCAACAGGAGTCGAAGCTCTAAGCTTTGGCCTTGTCCACCCCACCTCAGAGAGCATCCAGCACGATGGACTGTGCCTGTCTTAGGTCGTTCTGGCCCATGATGGTGGCAACAGGCTCAGCTAAGTTTCTATATTGTTCATTACAGCTAACACACGAAATTTTCCAATTAAATCTGACAAGGGCAGAGGTTATGGCCTTTGATTTTGTTTTTTTGAAAAGGTTTGGCATAATATAAAAAGGCTGTTTGATCCCTCCTGGATTCTTACTTACGTTTTGATTGGCAGGGTGGTACTTTTAATCTTTCTCCTTTTTAAGTGTCTCCTACAGCACATCTGGCAACAACTGGGAGCCACTGAGGTGACTCTACAGGTGTTAATGGCTCTTAGACATCCAACTCATAGCCCTCCACAGGAGGTTATGCATGCCTGGCTTTCTGAAATTCAAAAGGCTACTGACTGATCCTCCCCACCTGGGGTGACTCCCCAGGGATGGACCCTCTTTGAGGGCTAATAGTCAATGAGGTTAACAGCTTGTTTGAAAGCCAACCTAAGACAGGCGTAGTCCAGTTGCTGAGCCCCCCCTTAGGCGGGGTCAACAGGGCCAGAGCAAAGAACTCCAACTCCCGCTCAGCACCCACATAATAAAATAAAAGGGTGGATATGTAGTAGGACAGGTCCATAGGGTTGAGGAAATTGGCTCAAACCAACTGCCAAGGCGTACACATAACATACTTCCTTAAGAGCCAACCTGGAGTCTGCCTGAGGGCCTAGCAACAGGCACTGTCAGAGTTCCTAATCATGCCCAGCCAATGAGGGATGACCATGCAATGCCACCAGATTGGGACACAGCCCGGGTGCTGGGAAGAGGGTATATAAGGCCCTCCCTGTTATTGAAAAAACGAGTCTGCTATTTGCCTTTCATTTAACTCCTGGTGTCTGTGTCATTGACTCCACACCTTCCTACCCCCTCCCCCTGAGGGAGCCATTAGGACCCTGCACCATGCTTCCATCCTCAGCACTGGGGAAAAAGGGCTGAGAATATGGCATTGTAGAAAAAAAAGTAAAGCGTGGAGATGAGCCAGTTTGGAAGTGGAGGAAGAAACACTCCAGGAAGGGCACTCGGGTGTGCCCCGAGGCACACACACACACATCCGGGTATCCAAGAAAGTAGGAGACTGAGTAAACGGAAGAACCTAACTAGAAGTGAAGGTCAGAGAGGTAACAGGGTCCCACAGCTTTGTCTGGAAAATGAGGATGCATATGTGACAGCTGAGTGGTGAAGAGTCACCATTGCTCCTGGTACAGTCAAGGCTTCAAAATCCATCGCTCTTGGGACGACCTGCTTGCTTACGCTCACCATGTAGAGTTAAGAACTTGCAGGACACTCTCTTCTTCTCTTTCCTGCCACCTTTAGTCACTCCTTCCTCCCCCCATCCACCCTTCCTCTTCGGCCCCACTGTCTTGGAAGAGAACTCACTCAAAATATGACGCTCCCACAGCACCATGACACAGACTTACTATTAGTTCTGAACGCTCAGTCTAGCTCCGCTAGTTTCTAGCTAGCTCTTTTAACTGCAACTTTAACCTGTTTCTCTGTATCTGCCTTTGGCCTCAGGGCTTTTTACTGTTCTTTCCTTCTGTATATCTGACTTTCACTGCTTCTCCTGTCTGGATGGCTGGCGGCTGCCTGGCTTCCGGCCCCGGGCATGTCCCTGTTCTCTCATTTCTCCTCCTCGAGAGCCTGGATTTCTACTTCTATTTATTCTCTCGGCATTCCAGCTGCGCCTATCCTTTCTCCTGCCTAGCTATTGGCCATTCAGCTCTTTATCAACCAATCAGGTGCCTGAGGCAGGCAAGGTGAAACAAACGCAGCACATCTTTTTCATAATTAAACAGAGTCAACAAAGCAGCGTAAACAAAGTAACACACCTTTACACAGTTAAAGTAATATCCTGCAGCATAGACAAAGTAACACACCTTTACACAGTTAAAGTGATATCCTGCAGCATAAACAAAGTAACACACCTTTACACAGTTAAAGTGATATCCTGCAGCATAAACAAATGTGACACATCTTTGTCTAGTTAAACTAATATTCCACAATAGCAGGGTTTCTCTGTGTAGCCCTGGCTATCCTATAACTTGCCATGTAGACCAGGCTGGCCTTGAACTCACAGCGCTTCACCTGCCTGTGCCTCCTGAGTGCTGGGATTAAAGGTGTGCACTACCAACTGCCTAGTTTGAAGGGATTCTTAGTGCACTTTACAATCAACAACTTTTTGCTTAGGCATGTATACTTTCCATGACACGTGACAGCACCTGAGGCAGAAGCAGAACTATGTGCATCGTGTGTCCTGCTTTCCTGGTCATGTATTTTCTCTCCTCCATCTCCAGGCTCTCTCCCCACTACTGCAACAATATTCATAGCTTTCCCCTCCAAGTTTTTCCTGCCCAGGTCTTTCCATGGTTCTCAAACAGTAGCTGACTGACAGCTACATGGAGGAGTTTTAAGTGGAGTTTCTAAATGCACAAGTCTAAAGTGGGACCTCAGAATGCTCTTTTCTGAGAGGAAGTTCTCAGCTAATGCAGATGTTGCCAATGAGTGAACAGCCGACTTCTGTAACTGTACTTCACTTCCCCCTACCACACTGCCAGTCCTACATGTAAAATTAGTGAATTTATCTTGTTCACCACTATTTGCTGCCTAGAGTCTAGAACAGTGCCTTGTGCAAGCGGGTTAATATATACTAGTTAGATAAGTAAATAATTCAGTTAAAATTTTTATTATTATTACTATTACTGTTATTTGTATGGGTGTTTTGCCTGCATGTATGTCTATGTATCCTCTATGTGCCTGGTGCCTGCAGAGGCCAGAAGAGGGTGTTAGATCCCATGGAACTGAAGTTACAGGCAACTGTATGCTGCCATTTGGGTGCTGGAAATCAAACCCCAGGCTTTGGGAAGAGCACTCGGGGCTCTTAACCACTGAGCCACCTCTCCAGCCCTAATAACTACAATGTCTTCAGCATACATGTGTGTTGCCCATTAATATCTGACTCAGTATACCCACATATAAATTACTCAGGGTCACTTTAACTCCCAACCTCCCTAATGGTCTTCATTCAGACTAAAATTCTTTTTGTCTTGTGTGTGTGTGTGTACGTGTGTGTGTGTGTGTTGTGTTGCGTGGGTGCTTGTTTCTTTGTATCAGTGACGGCACATGCTCACGTGAGGAGTGCAGAGGACAACTTTGAGGAGTCAGTTCTCACTGATCCACCGATTCGAGACAGGATCTGCCTTTCTGCGACTGTGCACCGCAGGCTAGCTGGGCCAC